CGTTGAATTTTTTCATAAGTACGGAAAAAATGTGCATGTGTTACAGTTTCATGCAACACTAAACATAACCAGACCAGATGAATGGAAGAAATGGATAAATTTGTGATGAATGAAATTCGTTGTTCACTGACGATGGTAAAAAATTAAATCAAGTTATTAAATTGGATTCGAAAAAGTAGTTGAAATTATTATGAATTAGCTGATTAAGAGCTAGATTTGAGATATAGGAATACTCAGATCAAAACCCGGTCGAGTACTGATTATAAAAATAAATTGATATAGCCTCAAACAATTTGATATAAACTTAAAAATTGTACATCTAAAAAGCAAGATAGTATTTTGAAAAATAGTATTTAAAAAAAGGATGTAAATGACTAGTACATTTACTAGTTACAAAAACCAAAATTAAAAAAAATGTTAACAGCAATCAGAACTAAATATTCCAATAAGTTATGATGATTCCTTAATGACGTGGCTTTGCGGATGACAACCCTTTTGTTTTTTTATCTAATGATTTGATGAATTTATTAATAGAATAACTCTATTTCTATGGACTTATTGAAAGCAGCAATGAGTACAAGGGGAGAGGGGCGGGGTAACAAAATTTAGCAAAATATCAATTGTGAAAGAGGAGGGTAATTACAAAAAACTAGTTGGTATTGGTATTTTGCCTCGAGGCAAGTTACATGAACTTCCCAAAATGTGTAAATAATCGACTTAATTAATAAAAAATAAATTAATTTTTGAGTGATTAAAAGTATTCCGATTGGATTTATTACACATGATTGAAAATAAACGAACACGTTAACTCGGAGTATTTTCTAGAAGTAAATTTTCAGAAATCAATAATTTTTACAATTGAACCAGTTTCCGCAAGACTAATGGTTTAGTGTGTTCATTAAGACCAAGTACTCTATCGTTATACCAAGTAAATCGTCTAATTTTAATTTTAACAAACGTCAAAAAAAAAACTCATTTTCTCAAACTTAAGTGAATTTTCAAAATTAAAATACCTGTCGTAAGGCCGTAATATTTCAGTGAGTTTTATAAGAACAAGATATATTATCGCCAAAAAAGTTCCATAAAAATTGGCTTCAATTTTTTTTTCAGCGGTTAATTACAAGAAAACTGCTTGGTAGATTTTCGCCATAAACTAATCAGTATCATTCCCAACTAATATCTTTCGAACAGTTTTTGATTTTTTTAAATCGATTCGGTAGTATTAGCTTAAATGTGGACGAAAAGTTAAACACTTTTTTCCAAATAACAAAGAAACGGCTCGGTCGATCGTCGCACGAAACTGAGAAACGATACTCCTAATTTTGATACATCAAATGGCATTTAAATTTCTAAAATCGGTTAAGGCGTTTTTGAGCAAACGTCGATTTAAAGGTCTAATTTTGACAAATACCAAAAAAACGATACTAATTTTTGCAAACTTTGACGAATTTTTAAAGTTAAACGAGTTGTCGTAGAACCGTAATATTTTAGTATGATCTATAAGACTATGGTATCAACCGTCAAAAAAATAGTAAAAAACGACGAAAAAAAAACTTTTAACACTTTATTACAAGAAAACGGCCCGGTCGATCTTTATCAAAAACTAATCAGCACGATTCCAAACCAATATCTTTCGAACGGTTTTTGAATTTTCAAAATCGATTCAGATTTGCAGGCTAAAATGTGGACGAAAATTTTTTCATTTTTCTGCCTTTTAGTCCTCATCGAAATACATCGAATGGCTTTTAAATTTTTAAAATCGGTCCAGCTGTTTTTTTGAGAAAACGTCGATTTACGACAAAAAATCTGTTCACATACACGCACACACACATACACATACTTTTTCCAAATTTAGTCTCATTCGATTCAGAATGGCTTGAAACGTCGAGAAAACATAAAATTAGCGAATCGTATTTTTTGATGAAACAAACTTCTCCTTCGAGAAGTTAATAAAAGAAAGTATCAAATACAATCATGTCAATTATATAATAAAGTATAAATGTGATAACTCTTATTAGATTACTTAATTGTAATTAAATTACATTTGAAAATTGAAATCGCCAATTTACCGCGTTATTACCATTTACAGGAGTGCCATACCTAATCTGTACCTGACACTCCCCGCCTGTCCGAACCGAGTCGGCTTAACTTAAGCTGTCACTTCGGTCATTTTCGCACACGCACGATCCTAACCGAATCGCGTGAGTTTTGTAGGCCAATGTTATATTGCATTTCACTTATAACAACATGTCCATGTTCAGATACATTCTAATGATAAGGTAACTAAAAATTATACCTATGTATTACATTCATACAGGCATAATTCAACAATGAGCTGTTTCAATTAGAATTCGATAAGTATTCAAATGAATACAAGTTCCAGTGAAATATTATTGTTAAAATATTTCATCTTATAAATAATGATAAAATGTAAAGGAAATTCACACGCATTTGAATTGCTGCAACAAGACAATTTATGTGCTGTTGAACGTTAATGCAATATGAGTTCGTAATAATGTAGGAATTTTATTGATGATTTATTATTGATTAAAATACATAGAAGCTAGAAATTTCAGACGTTACAATACCTACATACATACATTTTTTAACGCAAAAATTTTCAATAATAAAATTAGCAAGTATTTTACCATTTTGCAAACCAACTTTTGATGAAACTTGCCAACACACGTTTAAAAAATTGTTTTAAAAAAGGGCCTCTCAAAGTCGACCGATTTTTTAAATTTTAAATTCTTAGTTCAACAAAAATACTTTATTCTTGAAAACTTGGGCAATTGTGTCATTATTTTACCAAATTGTACCAAATTAATTTTTGTACCAAATTGTAATTATTGTACCAAAGTTTAAATAAACAAAATTAATAAAAATTAACCACAATAACCGAAAAATCATCATAATCTCACCAAAGCTCTAGGTTGCACTCAAAAGCTCATAAATTCCAAACAAACGGAAATACTTTTTTTTCTAATATTAGGACAGTTAAGGTCAATACTACCACCCCATTTCGGTCTGACATAAAGTTCTGGGACACCCTGTATATTGTTCGACGTTATAACAAATTCTTTTTTTACAATGCTAGGCGCTAATAAATCGCAATTAAAATAACAATACATAAAGTATAATTATTCTATATAGAAGAATTATTCATATACTTTTAGTTACATCAAACTATAAGAATTCCGTCCCTATAAAAACTGTATAAACATTTTTGGACCTTCTTGCCCCGTATCTTCGAAAGTGCCTTTGCCAAAAACTAATCACCACGTCTCCTCAAATGTTTTTTTTAATAAATCAAATCGGTTGATCCGTGTTCCCGAAATCGTCGACAAAATATGTATTCGCACGCACGCACACAGGCGCGCGCGCCCACACACACATCAATTTTTTCTAAGGTATGCCAAAATGTTCAGAAACCTCAGAAACTTAAAGATAAGCAAAAATTTTCATTTTCGTTTTTTTACGATTACTGTAACTATAAGGTAATTATGATTATACCTCCATAATGTCTAAAGACAAATTATGCTTGATAGTGAAATAAATATATAAGGATTCACACAATTTATAATATTATTACGTTTTCTTTCATCTTTAGCTAATATGATTTATGATTTTATTAAAATCTAATTATAAATTAAAAATAATTAAAATTAAAGCCTGAAAATATACATTTTTACAGAGATTTAAGTTTTTTTTGGGATGTAACTTCAGTAAAACAAAGTCATATATGTATATGTACAGGGTGTCCCAGAATTTAGCGTCAAGCCAAAAAGGCGTGATGGTATTGACCTTAACTGTCCTGAAAAATTTTAGAACAAAAAATTATCTCACATTGTTTGTAAATTATGAACTTTTAGGTACAACCTAGAGCTTTGGTCAAATTATGATCATTTTTTGGTTATCTTGGTTAATTGTTATTAATTTTGTTCATGTAAACTTTGGAATCGTAACCTCGAATAGCATTTCTAGGACTACAGTAAGAAATAATAACACAATTTCCCCAAGTTTTTTTTTAAGAATTAAGATTTTTTGTTGAACTAACGATAAGTATAATTTAATAACTTTAAAATTGGTTGATTTTGAAAAGCCAAATATATAATTCATCAATAATATTTCAAAATTTTTTTTAAATAGACACTATTTTTGTTATCTCTCAATAATGTATTTTGCTCTGGCTTTGAAACAAGTTCCAAAATTCGACACCTTGATATCAGCCTGATATCAAGCAGTAGTAATAACAGTTTTCATCTAATTTGATCAAAAGATCCATTTATACATTCGTCATTTTTCCGGAGACAATCAATATTGAAAGAAAAATTAAAAATTTGTGCTAAACTAAATTTTACGTAACCATGTATTCACATGGTACTCAAAAATAATATAAAATGTTTTTTCAACATCTATTTAACGATTTAAAAAAAATATTGGCGTCACAATTTGAACCAGGTAAATAATTATACGTGAGAAATTGCAGAACATATTTTGTTTAAACAATAATTGTTTATGCAAACATTATCATCAAACAGTAGTGATATAGGTCGATATCAAGCAGTAGTAATAACAGTTTTTACAGCAATTATAGAAGGAAATACGTTTTTAAGTAAAAATAGCCCTAATCCAATATTGATGCATCAAATTCCAAATAATTATATTAGATAAAGATAAATAATAGTGTTAGAAAAATTGTAATAATAAAAATATATCAAATATAGATAGAACAACAATTGGTTTGTTGCCAAAAAGCTATGTGGTTAAAAAATATCATCATAACATCTCACAGAACTCGTAAATTCTGAGTGCTATTTAAAAATGAAAGTTTTTAGATTTTTTTGATTTTTTTGTGATTCCAAAAACCTACCCTATGGGAATTTATTTACGTTTTCTTTCACAAAAAGAACCATCTCGGAAATAATATTAAAGCCAAAATTCATCAATTCACGTAAGCTTATACTTATACTTAAAAGCCTCCCCTCTAATTTGAAATCATGGGAATTAAAAATAACAATGGTAACCTTACAAAAGCAGGTAATAACTTCGAGACCTTTTCGTGGCCCAAGAATTAGAGACAGGTTGTTTCCGACTACCTGTACCTGTACAAAACTTGTACAACTTGAGAAATAATTTATTTCACAAGAGAAAGGCGTACAGTCAAGTGGGAAAAGAAAGAATACTTGGAAAACATGTAAAGTTGGAGTTGAAGTTGGAATTATTTTCAGCACAATTTGGCGCTTTTATAATACGTGAAATTTGAAGTGGCAGAGATAATTGTAAATAGAGTTTTTCAGTTATTGTTAGTTCTTTGCCAACCTTCACAAATGTTTCTCCAATATTATTGTTCATAGGCATGGATTAAGAACGTGAATTAGCTACTACTAGTTCTAGTACTTTGACCAGCGTGATATCAGGCAGTAGTGATATCAGATTTCACGCATTTGATGATGGATCTAAAATAAGATATCGAGTGAAAATTGCCTTTCAGAAGCATTACTGAAAAAAATAATTGAGTCACAAATACTAATTAAATATGGATAATTTTTTAATATTTTTAATTCTGACTTTAGTTGTATGTTCTCCAACTTCAGGAGTACAATTTCATATTTGTTTTTTTTATCCTTTTATGACTATTTTCTTTTGGCTATGTAAAATATACATATGATACATGTACTTTCTATAAAATAATCTTGTTACAAAGTTTCAACTTGTTTTAACTTTTCTACCAAATTATTTTAAAAATATATTGTAACTAGAAAGCACTTGTTAGCTTTCTAATCGACAATTCAAATAAAAATATAACTAGTGTTGCATGGCATCGTGCCTTAAGCAAATTGCTGGAACTTTCCGTACCGTAACAAAATGTTCGAGAATATTAAATGTTTTCAAATAGATTATTATAAATATGTAACATTGTCTAATATTTATAAGAATTATATAACTGAATTGCAAAGTTGATATTATTTGTTAAAGTATATTAGAACTATAGTCAGAATTAAAAATAAAATCTGAATTATTTTCGATATACAAAAAATTAAAAAAAAAAAAGTTGAAAAAAATTTTTTTTTTTCCAAATTAATTATTTTGTTAAGACAAGCAGAAAGTTCTTTAAATCATTTAAATCGGACGCTTAGTTCTCTCAAAACTGCCATTTTTTTACATTTAGCTCTGTATCTTTAAAATGGCAGGACCTGCCTTTGCCAAAAACTAATCACCACTTCACCCAATCATTACACATTTAATGTTTTCTAGATCATTCAAATCGGATGCTCCGTTCTCTCAAAAACTCGATTTCTATTTTCTGCATTCTTTATTCCGTATCTCTGAAACAACTAGACCTGCCTTTGCCAAAAACTAATCAGCACATCTCCCTATCAATAGGAATCGAATGTTTTTTGAACCATTCAAATCGTCGTGCGCCCGAAAACGTGGACGAAAAATTGTATCCATACATACTTACAAATACACATCAATTTTTCTAAGGTATGCCAAAATGTTTCACGTAAAGATTTGCAAAAATTTCAAATTCGATTTTTGGACGATTACAATAACTTAGCCCACGGGAAATTAAAAAAAAAAAAATATGAAAAATATTAATTAAAATGCGTTTGATTGTTTTTTCCAAAGATAAACCCCAAATCAACAATGATCCCTGATACTAAAAATGTTATGCATAATTCCATATGATATTTTATATTTTTATTTAAAATATTTGATAGCGAAACGTGATAAATGAAAATGTTGATAGATTATTTTATGATAGCTGCACAAAACAGAAAATATTTTTCAGTCCATGAGATATTTGCAAATTTTCATAACATCATATGTTAACCAGTTTAGTAGAAAAATATTATTATAGACTTTAAATTTATTATTTATTATTAATATAACTTCAAACTTCAGATAGTAGGATTGGGAAGAATTTTGTCGTACTCTGAAACTTCATTATTTATATGGAATTACAAGATTTGTACAGTTTTAAGTTTGTTACTAATTCCAATGTCCATAATAAAGAAGTAATTTTATTAGACTCATTGTTTTCTGGAACGAATGCAAAATATTGCGCAATCTATATTCCTATCTACGTTTTATTTCGCAATAAACAATAA